CCTTTCCTGAGGCACCTGGTCTCCCCAGCCCAGCCCCACGGCCCCGGCTGCTCCTCACCTGGGGATGCAGGGTGCTCAGCAGGGCGTCCAGCTGCGTGTCCAGCGTGCGGCTGCCAACGTTGACAGAAGCCTCCAGAATCTGGGCCAAGCTCTGCTCGGAAAGACGGTGCAACGCAGCCCTCAGGGCGGGGGGAGGGGGGCAGCAGCCCTCAGGGCAGTCGGACCCACTGGGCTTCCAACCGCAGACAGGAGGCCGTTGCCGCGGGACAGCACCAAGAAGGTGCCCAGGAATGGCCCGGCCTCCCTCCCTGTGGAAGCAGGCGCTTTGCTGGCCAGGCCTCTCGCGCGTATCCCCATCCAGGCAAAGGTCAACTTCCCCTTGATGAAAGCCTCACGCTATGTAACTTAAAGATCAGCGACGCCCAGGAACCAAAACCAGACCTAAGCAGTTCATGTAAAGCTGGTGCTGACTGTGCCATGCCCGATAAGGCAGAAAAGGAAAAACATCTGACCCCCGTACTCCCGTCCCTTACCAGACAGGGGCTGCTAGCCTAGCACAAAAGCTCTCTCTATAAAGCAGCTTCCCCTCCTGTATCAAACTGAGGAATCCCGAATAAACACTGGATGGCAGAATAGAGCCAGGTCCGAGGACTGATCACCCGAGGGCCACCTCCCACTCACCGAACCCAACGAGTTCCTGGAGAGCGTAACGTATCCCAAACAGAACGAAAACCAAATATGTTGTTGTAGTTTGTGTCTGTCCAATGTCAGTATTGTTATCGGAAATTGTTTAGAGGGATCGCTAGGTAGCAGTGTTAGAGTTTTAGATAAATGATTAGTCTTATAAGTAAGGTTGATGTAAATGTAACTGTTAATAATCCCTGGTCGGTCCCTTGTTAACAACTATTGGGATTTAGAGAAACCTCAAGGAATTTCCTTCACTGTATTGCATTTTGCTTATGGGTCATTCGAATCATTATTTGGTGCCTACGTAGGTAAGAAATGGATAAAATCATAATTGACACGTGGAAGCCCTTTAATAAAAGTTTCAAAGATATTTCGTACTAGTTTGCCTGTTTCTGCGCCTCCCTGGGACTAGCCACATTTCCAAACCTTTTACTTTAAGCCACACTCCCGTGCAGCATGGGCCCCCCCCCAGGCCACCGAGCTGCCGGCCCCAGAGGGCACAGGGCGTGCGGCGAGGTCGCTGTGCCAGCCCCACGGCAGTCGCTGCGCTCTGGCTCAGCCCCCCAGGCACCCGGGGGGACCGGCCGGCCGGGCTCTGTGGGAGAGCTGCCGGCCCCAGAGGGCACAGGGCGTGCGGCGAGGTCGCTGTGCCAGCCCCACGGCAGTCGCTGCGCTCTGGCTCAGCCCCCCAGGCACCCGGGGGGACCGGCCGGCCGGGCTCTGTGGGAGAGCTGCCAGAGGGGGCCAGCCCACCGCGGTGGGAGCGATCCAAGCCAGCAGGGCCAGTGCCCAGCGCCAGGGGCGGGGGGCTCAGCAGGGGGGGCAC